CTCAGTCGACGTACTCAAACAGATTCATTAAAGAGCTGGAGTAGCCACGTTCCCCACGTGCGGTGAACTCATTAAGTTTGCAGGCAGTCAGAGCCTACTGTTCGAGAGTGCTGTGTCCTTCTGAAGGAGCTTGTATCTAACTGTGAGACCTGACAGTCAGCTGACTTAGTGCTCGTTCATTCCTTCTACAGAATCTCACAAAGGACACGCTTAACTATTGGCAACTCATAGTCATAGGATCAGAGAGCTCATGGGTTTTTTTTCTCCTAATAACAGTGAAAGATTTTGAAATCCTGTGTTTGGGTTTGTTGAATTGGAGTGCACAGATCTAACGGTGCCTTATTTTGAGTGTTGCTCTGGGCAGTGGAGTATGGGATCTGTTTGGGCCATGAAGTTGTATATTCTGTAATAGGAATTCAGTTTATTGCTGTAATGGATGCAAACTCATTACAAGTTCTAAGCCACAGGGGATACTTTCCTTTGCTGTGGAAGTCATCTCAACCGGACAATCTTCAGTGCAACTGGCCATGCCCTTCCATGTCAGTGACTGACAGATCTAATTCTGCCTTTGTAGCCGAGAGCCTGTTAGTTAATGGAGTCGTGAATATTGTTACTCAGAGGCAACCTTCACAGTATTAAAATGCATTATTCCTGTTATTCTCTTGATATTTATCAAAGAAGGTGGTGTATCTAATAAATGCAATATTATTGTCAAATAAATACTGTGTGTAGATCATGACTTAAAGGAATGGGGATATAAGTAGCTTCACTGTTGCTTTGCAGTGACAGACGAGAGATGGGTTTAGCTTGCCTGTTTAAATCCTGTGTGATGGAAACCCAGAGTGAATGTCCTCTCTGAGGGAAAAGAATGCATTAGGGGTTATATGATCAGATTAATAAAATCCTTGGTACATATGTATTTCATACAAGTCTCAAATTTTTCCCCCCCTTTGTTTCTTCTTACATGGAAGCAGATGAAATGGAGAAGCAGCAGTACTGCCTTGGAAGTACCGTAGTAGGTTTCCTTTTATAATTATCATTCTTGACATATTTATCCTTTCTTATGGAAGTGAAGATGCAGATATTTAAGAACCCTTCTTGCACAAAAAAGCCCAATTTCCACTCAGTACTTAATTAGCACTTGTTTATGGCACAGCATCTGATTTGATTTTCGAAACAAATTGCACAGTAAAGAGGCTGATATTTAAACTGTATAGTAACCACAGCTCCAGCTGTGACTCAAATCTTGTAAGCCTTCAGGGGTTGTGTTTAGGCTTAGAAAATAGGAACTCAGGCCTGTAATTAAATGTCCTCTGAAAATCAGCCTTTGTAGAGAAGTGAAGAGGGTACCTCTGGATTTTAAATTACTAACTTGTTCTCAAAAATCATTCTGTTGTTCTGGGCCTTGCTAGGGACTGCAGAAATCAAATGGATTAAAAATGGAAGTGTAGATTACTAAATGAAAAAAAGTGAGGGGTTGCAGACAAAAAGATGTGCAAAGTAAGCTATTCTTGGCTCACTGGTTTATAGACAACTGCAATATATGTAATATTTTTAATATATGGCTAATGTAGAGATGACAAGTTCTGAGGCCACCAGAAAGACTAAAGAGAGAGTAGACACTTCATCCAGAAGAAAATTGCTTTTTGGAACTGTGAATAAGTTGTTGATGATTGTGGAATAAGCCATCTGTGGTGATGGAGGGCTCATTTTTAAAGCAAGTCCTCAATAATAAACATGATTGTCTTGGAAAAGGAAGTAGACAGGGTTATATTATAAGTTAGTTGTTCACCTAGATAAAAATGTGAAATATTTACAAAATAGCATGATAGAAATTAGCCCGTAGAGTGCTTTCAGAGTTACTTTTTGAGGAAAGCAGACATTGTCATGACTATTAGAAAAGGGAAAAATTACCCTAGCAGCCTGACTTCTTATCATGGAATATGCTGGAACAGATGCTATGGGAAAATACTATGCTTACGAATTATATTGAACCATAAGCACGAGCAATGTGTGCTCATGAAAACACAAAAATGAGTAGGTCATGCTGGGCAATTAATTGTATTGCTGGTAGAACTGGCCTTGAATGGAATAATCGTGGAAGATTTTAGTGTTGATTGATAATACAGCTTTCAAACAAGGCAGTTTTCTGTGTTTCACATCTTTTTAAAACTGGGGGAACAGGGGCTATTTTATTTTATTTTTTTTAATTGTCAGGCATGTAAAGGTTCCTCTTACGGTGTGTCTGCTGTCATTCAGATACTGCAATTCAGAACATTTTAACCAGATATACTACTTAATTGCCTCTCTCTGCTGAGGAATGCATTCCTAGTGGTTGCTCTCAGTGTGCCTTAGAGAACAGAAATTCAGAATTTAGGAAATTTGTTGCAAAAGTTCAGCCACTGGTCAATCTATGAGGTTTTAATTAAATTACACTTTTCTATCCATTCTTGTCTGGACATGAACGGGGGCTCACTTGTGCAAATATCCCACTTAAATGGCATAAGCAGCAGTATGTGGGTAGTGACATACCTCGTGCTGGTAAAATTTGCTTCTCTTCTCTATAGTCTGATTTCTTCTTAGATGAGGGCAGGTTTATCAAACGTAGAGGAGACAGACCTCATTGAGAGGATTTTGCAAATATGGTGTTGAGGGATGAGTGAAGGGTCTTATTTTCTCCTATTTTTGTCTTTAATTTGTCAGCACTGAAAAGTAAATTGAGTTTACAGTAGCTGCTAATCTGCCAAAAGTCCTGATGGCATTTATTACTGATACTTAAGCAACCTTACTTTCAAGTCACAAAATACTTGTATTGGCAAGAGTTTGTTTAAATAGAAATACAGTGTTACCTTTGATACTGGAAACACTTCTGCATGAGAGTAATCCTGTTGATGACAACAGATCTGTTAATACACTTAAATATTTGCAGGACTGGGGTCTTCAAATTGATGATTTAAATCTCTGTCTTAAATCAGTTATTCAGACTACTCTGGACTAATGGGCTAACAAATGTTAAGCAGCCTGCTAGTCCAAAGAGGAAGCTTGACTGTTATCCTTTAATTTGTAGGTTAAGTGACAGAAACAGGAGGAAATTAAGTCATTTTCAACAATTTGTTGGGGGAACTTGGGCACATCCGAGACTGGTGTTCAGGTCTCTACTCCCGACACTGTGATTTCAAAAGACTGTTACTTCTTCTTGTTCACAAAGGCTTTTTTCTCTCCTTTTTTTTTTTTTTTTTTTTTTTTTTTTTTTTTTTTTTTTTTTTTTTTTTTTAAGATATACACTGTGCTGTGCTACTTTGAAAAAGCAACTGAAGCACTTGAGCCAGACATAAAATGTAGGCTTCTGTAGTGTTCTTGCTAGATAGAGATAGCACTTTGTATAGTTTCTTCCATTTTCAAAGCAGATAGAAATGTCAACAGTTCCTCTCAGCAAACCTGTGAGGTGGGTTAAATGAGTGTTGTCCTCATTTTACAGTAGTAGAAGGACTAACCACCCGTGAAGTTAGTGCTGAAGTAAGGATTAGGTCTCAGACAATGATGCTTCTAGCTGTGTGAGAAGTCCCCTAAAACATAGTTTGTTAATGTGCTAAGCATTGCAAGTCCAAACTCAGTAGGTGAATGCAGTAACGAGATATACTTGACTTTAATTTATCAGCACAATGGTGATTATTAAAATTCATGTTTAACTGAGATCACTGGCTAGGACACCAGGGCATAATCTTACTGCTACTTTGAAAGATTTAGAAGGATTTAAATTCAAACTGTAGAGAAGCAAAAATAACTAATGTTCAAAGTATATTGTAAAATCCTGTACATGTACTTCTCTTTAGAGGCACAATTTTAGTCTGTTCTAGTTCTTATTTAAATTTCAAATTCCAAGGCTGGATTGCCTCTTCACCATAGGTGGGAAGGTTCGTCATTCAGTGGTGACATGTCTTTTCTCTCCAACCAGTTGTATTTTTTAGAGTACCAAGGTGGACACAGTTCCTACAAACTTAATATTGTGTTGACTCAAGAATGAACAAAGGTAAATTCACCTTGAATATAGCCATTCTGAAAATGAGAAAGCTTCTTGCAGCCATCTGGGAGGAGTTGTAGGGGCACAGATCTGCTGGTTTGGAGGGGAAGTATTGTGCATTAAGAAAGGAATTGTGAAGTAGTTTCCAGGAGTAAGAAAGATCTCTGGATTTGGTGTCTGTGGATGTCCTGTCTGGTCCTGTTGCTTAGGTGTGATTTTGATTTTAATATCTAACCATCTCTTTTTTGAAGGGAATGGGAACAGTTGAATCCCCTTGAATGTGAGAATGTCTTCAAACTACAAATGAATGTCATACCAGGCAGTGTTTCATTTTTTGGTGCATACTTTTCCTTAGCTGTAAGCTATATGTTCATCCAGAGCAATTGGATGTCTTGCCTTTTCCTCAATTCAGTAAAGCATGAAAACGATAAATGGGGAGGAAATTATATTTATCTGTCAGTTTGAGGCATAATTTATGGCTGTGTGTGAGTATAGTTTCTTCTTACCCCAGTATTAAGGCTACACCTTTTCAGGGATTTTCTATAATCTCTTCATCTCGTCCAGTGTCTTGGTCTGACTGTGTTGAGGATGGTGACTGTGAAAACACTCATACTCCTGTTTTGACACCATTTACTTTATTTAGTGTCAAAAGCATTAATGACCATTAGTCTTTTCTACTGCACCCACCACAGAGGCTGTGCTTATCCAAATGCATTTGTGTGGAAATTTTAAAGAAATACCTATATATACTGAATTGAAGTATAAAAGGATGGAAATCGTAAATATTATTGTGACTTTATTAAAAAAATGTTCTTAAAGCAGCTGATATCAGAAGAGTAAACAAGAACTAATCTGGGTACTAAACCTTCATATGCGGCTTAAAAAAATCTGCATTGTTTAAAATGCTCCAGAATTTAGACTTAGGTTAGTTAGGTCCCAGTGTAAAAGGAGGTCTCTCTTTATGTCTATTCTCTCCTAGCCCCGAATACACATGCCAAAAGATGGATTCCAACTTATATCTTCTGGATACCAAGCATGGCTAAAGCAGGTTGGACTGTATTATTGTTATTCATCTCATGTGAGGGACCGTGTTGGACACCTGTGCTTGTCTCATTAGTGAAGTACATAAATGAGGGTGTAATGAAGTTACAGTGCCATGTTAGCTGATACCCCTCATAGCCATCACTGTTTTGTGTTTATGCATGCTGTGTTTGTATAACATTTTCTCACCAGTCTGATGAATGTGCACTTCCTGTAAATCAAAGTTCAAAATGCAGTCAACTGAAAGCGAAGAGGGTCAGTGTCTGAAAACAAATCTGCAACAACAGCTTGAATTACAGAATTAAAATGGGCCTTCAAACACAAAGCTGCATGGTGGTGGTGTTGGTAATAATGGGCAGGCCACTGGGTTAAAACTCAAGAGAATTGCATCTAACATCTAATTCAGATCTGCCTGGGTGAATCAAGTATGGACACTTACTCACATCACATAACAATTGTGCAGTTTGACACAGTCTGACACTGTGGGGAGTCCCCACTCGGAAGTGGCCTAGTGCTATATTACTCTGGCTGTTATTAAAGGCCAGGCTTTAGATGTCTCAGCAGTCTGCCTCTAGCAATTGCTGTCAGCTTTTCACTTTTGTGAGTGAAAAATCCCCCTTCAGAAAGAATAGCTTAATTTACAAATGGCGTGTACAGATCTCTTCCCTCATGAAGATTACGTACATGATGAATCCCGTGTCCTTGAGAATACATGGCTTAAAGTTGCTGTTTTTGTAGAAAGCCAGAATGATTGTGTTGTTATGGCAACAAAAACTGGAAATATGAAAACAGCACAGATAAGCTGCATCCTGTTGTCATGGCAACTGCAGTTGTGAAATGACGAAACATGGTGGTGAAGGGATCTATGGTACCGCGAGCCCATCAGAAACAAAGAGCCAAGTCACTTGAGCAGAATGTGAGGGAATGAAAAACTGCGACAACAAAACCCCTTAAACCATTAGAGCTTCATTGCAGGTACTAACAGGAAGGGTTTGATTCTCTCCACTCTTGTGTCAGTACCTTACAAGCAGCAGTAAGCAGTAACTTGCTCGTGCAAGTTGCTTACTGCTGTTAACTTATGTTGACTTCTGTGAAACTGAGCAGAGCTTGAACACCTATAAGAAGATGGACATTGAGTCCTATATTGCATTTGCAAACCATTTCTTTGAATGAGTGATGTGCTGCAAAGGTGAAACATGCTTTGGAGCTTCTTTCTGAGAGGCCATTTCTCTCTCTTTCCAAGTCCTCACTAGTGAAGGTCAGCTGGGACACTGAAGCTTATGTTTTCTTGATTTAAACTTTGCTGAGCTGGAGGCAAGGTGTCTCAGAGGAATCTCAACTCTGCAATTATTGTCTCACAGAGCTCAAGTTTGTTGACCTATGGGGCACGGCATCAGTTTCTGTTTCTTATGTGGTAGGTTGGGAGAACAATAGGAAGAGGATTGTGTGGCTGTTCTGTTTTTCTTTTACTTCTGAGGCAAACAGACCAGCATTATATTAGCAGTGCTCTGATGCAGGTGGAATAAATGCTTTTTTGTCTCTGAAAAATATTGAGGGGAGCAAACCCCAAAATGCTCAGTAAAGTTTCACAGGAGGCTTTCACATCAGGCAACCTCAAAAAATAGAACAACTTGCATTTAGAAAAAATATTTTTGTAAGTGTGCTTTCCTTTTGATTTTTAGTTTATTATTCGTTCTAAAGTCTATCTAAAACCTCCTTATTCCTGCTTGATTCAAGTAAAAGTTATAAAGCTGTGCTTGTGTCAATTAGCAGATGCTGCATGGAAATAGCTTTGCTATTCCAATTTCAGTGCTGTGATTTCACCACAGGAAGTAGAAGGGTAAGGGGGTTGATACAAAGGGTGGGGACTTGATCAAAAGAAAGAGCTTTCATGAGAAGCAGAGAAGTAAAATTTTTTTGAGGTGAGACTGATTTGGTATAGGATATGAAAACTTGTAGGCTTCTTTAAAACTATGTATTGAAAAGAAAGCCACTTTTGATGTATGTAAAAGCAATACTCTACATATGCATCCAGATGGAATGGGGTCTGTGCATCAGGTTTATTCTCCTGGTGGTTGTGTTTTTAACAGGATCCTAACTTAATGATTTTTTTTTTTTTCTCCTCAGCATGGCTGAGTATTGATCTGCTGCCTGACTTATACAGAATGTGAGAAGTATCCCAGTAACACATTGTATTAATGTGGACTAAAAGCAGTTTATATTACAGATGGAGTGGAGGAAGATGGAGTTCTGCAAGACTGGACACATACTATAAATATCCATAAAACTGACAATTTTATCTAAAAACAGTGCTGGCTGGATTTGCATTTTTTCAGCCTACTTAAACTGGAGATAATAGTTGAACACTACCTGAGCATGGGTCGCCCACACTGATGCCATTACCCTCTGCCCTTTAATGGCAGGTTTTATGTGTTCTTATGAGGGCTTGAGGAAATACAATACCAATGGCCAGAAGAACATGTTGCTTTAAGAGTAGCATTTTAAGTAATCTGCAATGTTCTCTTTACTCCATCTGTTTTCTTTAAGTTCATCTTTTACAACACAGCAAACACCTACATTTGGTTTATTCAGGCTTGATCTTCATTTAAGCCTTTTTGCTGCCAGCAGTCTGTAACATCCCATCACCTAGATGCTGACCCTTTGGAGACAAGCCACAATTGACTTCTGAGGGGAGGAAGGGGGAAAATATTTGTGTATAAATACGATCAATAGATATGACATTCCAATTCCTATATTATGTGGACACCTCCTATAAATTAAGCTAAATTGTGAAGTCGGGCAAGTTAAGCTAATTAGCTGAAACACTTAGAAAATATTATTTTGATTATATAAACTGGGAAGTAAAAGTATCATTTATGTGGCTTGTCAAACATGCTAAAGCTAATCCCTCCCCTTTTCATAGCATTGTGAGCAAGTATGCATCACATAGGATATGTAATATAATGCACTCATCTGAGCCTTTCTGCCTCCCACTGTCTTTTGTAGTAGAATTTTTAAAGCCAACTTATAAACCTGTAAATGTGTTTTATGCTGAAAATTCTTGGTGATACCTTAACTAGATTGGTACCAGCAAAGGCCAGTATAATCAAAACAAGGCACTTCAGATATTAATGGTCTGCACTTCAGTCAAGTCAGCTGGAAAAGAGAGTGTAAAAACCAGGACTATGATGAAAACGGGATTCTTCCACTAAAATTGCACTTCCGTGAGAGAAAAATGCAATGATTCTGGAAATATTTTGGTTTTGTAATTTTGTCATTTAGCATCTCCTCCTTAACTTCTAAAACATATATTCTATTTTCAGTGGACCCATATGCTTTTTAAAATTTAGATACTAACTCCTTGGGTGGAAAGTAGAAATAAGATTTCTTTCTGCAGTTCATTTATTAATACTTGGCACTCATATAGAACTTTACGTGCTCAAAGTGCTCTGCGGACATATCAGTTATCCTTGAGACACTTTTGTGTGGTAGGTGCATAACAATAATTCTGAGAGATTTTATGGAATTAAATAAAACTGGGGATGAGGGAAAAATCTAATGAAACCTCCATTTCATCTCTCTACCAGTGTAGGTTTGTTCTCTGCAGTTTGTGTCATGAAAATCAAGAGTGGAGTTTTAGAAGTGTTCCCAGCTGAAGGGGTTTCAACATACTTGTTAGGATGCCCAAACTCATGTGGAATGCCTATGTCAAAGAATTAGATTTATCTCTTTTGGCATAATAAGATTGAAATTGGTTGGAATTGATCAGGCTTTGGACATAGAATCGTAAAGGTTGGAAAAGACCGCTAAGATCATCGAGTCTAACCATATCATGTCCATCAGACATAATGGAGCTTAATGGCATCTGTGTTTTCTTGCTTGCCAAGGAGCTTAGTGTGCTTGGTCTTGTAAGATCTCCACTTAAAGCCTTCAGATAGTTTCACACTTTAGACCTTGGTGAGATTGCTCTTAGTAAGTTTGTGTAGGGCTTGCCGAACACCATCTCTGGTGTTGTTTAAAGAAGCACGCACAAGTCTCTGCATGTTTTACTCTTTAGAGTACAGCATCTGAATCTTAAAGTTATGCAGCTGCACTGGGTTTAGGTTTATCAGCTCTATTCATTGAAGAGCTATAATTATAAAAACATTAGTATTGTCTAGTTCAGATATGATCTACACAAGTTCCCTCAAGCACTTGGCAACTGAGGATCTTGTACATCTTATAGATGCTGGAAGCTGGCCCCTTTCTGGGGCAAGTAGTTTCTGTTGACTTGGAATCGCAGACGTTGAACTCCAGTAGTAACTCTTTGAGGAAAATATTCCTTCACAAACATTTACCTAAAAGCTGTGATTTGATCCTCCCGGATCCCACTCAGGTAAGTAATTATTTGGATAATCTGAATATGTAAACCTTTTTCCATATGTCTTATCTTTGATATTTAAGAGTAGTTAGTGAACTGGAATCTCTTGTAAAAAGTTACTGTTGGCTAGGGAGTTACCAAGGGATTAGAGAAGAGTTTGTGTAATACGTATGTTAAGGAAAATTTACTGAGCAATTACTTGCAAAGTGGGAGGCTGAAGGAAAAGGAACCCTTTACAGCACTTGGAGCTCTGTGTGCACAGCAAAGCTGGCAGAATGTAGTAACACCCTGAGGGTGAAGGAGAAAACCATTGCACTGAAGTCAGTGATCTGTACCAGGGTAAGAAGTCCAGTATTTCCTACATTTGGAATCTAGGAAGTGTTATAATTGAACCCTAGTAGCATGTTCCAACCTCTGATTTGTTTTGAAGTCACATCCTAATTTGCAGTTTGTGAAAAATGCTCCAAGAGTCTTTAATAAGGTAGCTCAATTACTTTTATTATGGCAAACGAGCACAAACCACTTTTAATCATCCCCATATATGCCCGTGGAAATGTGACCAAGATGTCTGAATGTAATAGAAGCTGAGAAATTGTGCAAAGCGCTGGTTATGACAGCAACCACATCATGCTCTTCGCGATTCTGGT